AAGGGAATTCCAGAGAGGGAAAAGATCCCTGGGGATCCTCCTTTGCTCCAGGTGAGCCCCTGCCCAGCTCCCTCAGGGATTCTCCATTCCCTTCCCCAGCCCCATTCCTTTCCCTGTTCCCACTCTCCATTTAGAGCTCATCCCAACCCATTAATTTCTTTACCCCAAGTTTGTCCTCTGGCTCATTCAGGGTTTATCCTGCACCAACACAAAAATCTCTGTTGTTACACAATATTCAAGGAAGAACTTGAATGAGGAAGAGTGGAGCCTCTTCCAAGCCACACTGCCAATAATCCTCTACTCACAGAAGTCACCTCAGATGTTCATGGCAAACCAGGAATCCACTCCAAGCAGCAGAGAAGTCACATCCTTACCTCCTTCAGTGGGTTTTTACTGTGCCCCTGAGCTCCACTAAGTTTCTTAGCCTTGGCTGATGCTCAGTGGAAAAATAGGAGGAGTGGCACTCTCCCAAATGCCTCCCACTTGTGGCATCAAAGTGAGATATCACTCCCAGTAAATTTTACAGCATGAGGAATGAAACAGTTAGCAAAGTTGACATTTAAACCATCACCACTGGCTATGATTAAATACCTCAGAGATGAACAGAGTGGTTCACACCTCTCCAAGTTATTGTTCGAGGCTCTTAGCAGATTCCCTGCCCCATTGCATCCTCTGCCTTTGCACACACCTGAGATCTCCCTTCCATCTCTAATAGATGGGAACCTGCTTAAACTGAGATTCTGGAGAGCTTCTGATCGTGTTACAGGGACAGAGAGAGGCTGACTGAAACCCTGGTGAACTTCTTGAACTGCAGATTCACCCTGAAAGGTTGAGGCAGATTAATAATATGGGAAGGGCCAAACTGGCCCCTTGCTCCTCCTCCTCTGAGGTCCCTCAGTAAGATGGAGGGAAATAAAACACTAAGGAAAATTACAAATAACCTGCAGGGAACACAGAGGGCAGATGAGACCACACTGCTCCTGAGAGAGCCCAAAATGAAGCCTGGGTCTATTCCTACCAGGCAATTCCTACACCAGGAAAATGCAGGGTTTGACCATTTGTCAGGCTGCCCAAACATGCCACCCCAATGCCAAGTCCACAGCTCACAATTCCAAAGTATTTTGTGCTGTAAATATTCATTAGAGGGAAAACCATGGTTTGTGTTACCTGCTTACCAAGGGGATAATTTACTCCTGCACCTCTGGAATGAGTCAAGGCCTCTCAAAGCAGAGTCATCCCAGTGTGGGAACACCACAGCTGGCAGCAGAATAGCAAAAAACTTAATTCTGAAACTCCAAAGCTGCTGAAGACACTTTGAAGTATAATACCAGTAAAAGAAAGGGAGTTGTTCTTTTGTACATGAGCAAGAAGTGTTAAACATTTGTAATATTTCAGTTGGGATGTTGGAGAAATATTGATTCAAACTTATCATTAGATTGGCATGAACTGAAAGAAAAACTACAACAGCTGATATAGCATAAAATAGATATAATATACCATTATATTGTATAATTACAATATATATTATATTATAATATAATATATATTATACAATATAATGGTATATTATATATATTGTGTATATATATATATTGTATATTATATATATTGTATATATACAATTATATATTGTATATATCATAATAAATTACATAATAATAAACAATATAATAAAAACTATATAACTTACTTTTTTTTAATCTCTCTCTCTTTATATATATATATATATATAAATATATCTAAAGAATACATATGCACAGCTTATACACACTTAAGGGTTTTTAACATATCAACTGTGAAACTGAAGTTCTTAGAAATAGATACACTTGTCCAGATTAAGATGTCAAACCTTCAGGGACCTGTTTGGATCAGGGCATCCTTATCACAGAATCCCAGCCTGGTTTGGGTCCCCCAAAGCCCACCCAGTGCCACCCCTACCTGGCAGGGACACCTCTCATTGTCCCAGCTGCTCTAAGCCCATCCAGGAATGGGAGGCACATCCAGGATTTCAGAAGCCTGGATAAAGATGCCTCCTCTCCAAGAGAAACCCTCCCTGAGTGACGTGTCTGGAGTTTTAAGCCCTGCAGCTTCCCGAGGAGCAGAATAACCTCGGGTTATTACAATTAGTTTCATCTCATTAATAGATCAATTTCTTTCAAGCATACTGAAACTGGGTTTTACTTTGTTGCTTCTCCTTTTAGGCTCCATTATAGTCTGTGTTCTTAAGTTTTAAGGAGAGCCATCAGTGAGGAGGTTGTAATCTCAGGTGATTAATTGCACAGCATTTTACAAGCTGTAAAACAGAGCGAGATCTCCACAAAGCGATTATGCCATTAACCAGGGGCTCTTATCAGATTTTTCTACAACTACCAGGTTTGTCTGACAGATTGCAAGTCTTAAGTATTTATATATTTCAAAGGTTTACTTATTTTTGTTGTTAAAAAACCCTAAAATCTCTATTGATTGTTACATGCAATTCCACATGAGAAGTCCCAAGCACTGTGGAGCAGAATACCAATATTTATTACCAGACTTGTGCTCATTATGGTTCTCTCTGACAGGGGTCCATTAAAATCAATTTTTATGTTTCTTATGTTTTTTTTTTTCCCACCCAATGTTCTTGCCATGGCGTTTATTAGCCAGTTAGGAGAAACACCAGGCACTGCTTTGTTTTTATTTTATTCTGTCGAAAATAATGAGGCCAGATTTAACAACTATTCACCAGCGATGAGTAGGAGAGATTAAATGTTATACTTCAGCACAAACATTTACAGATGGCTTTAAAATTTTTAGAACTTTATCAGTGCTAAAGACAAAAGGAAGTCCCACCTTTCTTCTTCAGATTTAAATTCTTAAAGTAATCATAAAAGCACTCTTCCTGCCTTTAGCTTCAGAGTTATTCCTGAGTGATAGACCCTCTAATGCAACAATTTTGGCACATAAATCATGCAGCCTGTGAGGCTGAGAGCTACTGGGATGCCATTAATGCCTCAAATGAAGTGAAGTCAGCTCACCACTGAGAAAAGGGAAGATCTAGAACAGGTGCAAATTAAAATCTAGGAAAAGGATCCAAACTGTGCAACTTCTGATGAAGGACAAGATCATGAGAAACTTCAACCAGAGAACGTGAACATGTTACAGCAAACCAGATGTCCTGGTAAAACAAAACCAGATTTTTTTTACCAGATGTTCTGGTAAAAGAGCAGCACCCATCCCTACAAATGAGATCCCCCAAACCTTTTTCCAGCTGTTATTCCCCTCCCTCACTGACATTTTCCCTTCACAGGATGAAAATCCTCATCCCCTGGGCTGCTCTCCAGGCAGGTTTTGTCTGCAGCAAAGCCAAGTTACAGCTACACCCTAAATACCCATTTATTTCCATTCCTCATCAGCAGAAATCCAGAATCTGAAGGAAGTGCAGCAGTCATTCCCATACCCCTGGAGTTGGTAAAACTGTGAAATCCAGAAGCTTCAGAGTTTTTGTATGGAAGGTGAAATCATATTTCAAGCAGAACACACATTATGCTCCATAGTCCTGATTAATTTCACACCCATTTCAGTTACAAGGAGAATAAAAAAGGAAAACAAGCATCCTGAAAATCCATGGAGAACTTCAGAGGCAAACACAGCATGAAAAAAAGACAATGTTGAGAAAAGAAGCCAAACCTGTTTGAGTCTTGTCAGTGGCAGCACTGATGTAGCAGACTGTGGAAAAGTGGAATTTAATTAACAAACTCAGCTGAAGGACCAGTCTTAGAGATGTCTGAGAAAGTCTAACAAGTCTTGACTTTGCAAAAGAAATTCGGCATAGAAATTTAGCATCTAATTCTGAATGAATTCAACATTCCTTTTAAAAATGTCACTGAACATTTCCTCACAAATAAGGAAAAAAAATCAAAGATGAGAGCAGGACAGATGGACTCCAGCAGACTGAACACAACAGGAAAAGGAACTGATGCCTCCTCAGCCAGGCCTGGATTTGAGACATCACCTCCACTGCCACGTGGGATCTGATCCAAACTCCAGCAAACATTACAGCTCTGGGAAAACAACCAAAGCTCTCACCAGTACTACACAGTAATTAAAACAATCAGTCAGTCCTGCTTCTACCTGCTGGAGCACAGATCTCTAGATAAAAATATTAAAAAAATGAAAATAGAAAAATACAGAATTAAAAATATTAAAAATTAAAATATAAAATATAAAATATAGAAATATAAAAATAAACATAAAATTATTTATATAAAATATAATATATAATAATTTATGTATGCAGAATATAAATCTAGTAATATAAAATATAATAACTTAAATATATAAATAATATATAATAATTTATGTATATAGAATACAAATCTAGTAATATAAGATATAATAACTTAAATATAAAAATATAAAATATGAATATATGAATACATTAAGTATAAAGATATAGAATACAAAAATATAAAAATGTGAATATATTAAATGTATAGAAAACGTATAAAATAAATAATTAGAAATAAAAATATAAAATTATAACAATATAAAATTATAACAATATAACAATATAACAATATAACAATATAACAATACAACAATATAAAAATATAAAAATATAAAAATATAAAAATAAAATATAAAAATATAAAAATATAAAAATATAAAAATAAATATAAAAATATAAGAATATAAAAATATAAAAATATAAAAACAGATGTAGGTCTGCAAGATTTGTGAGGTGTGCAAGGAGATTTTGCCCTCAGTGACATTTGTATGGGTGCCAAAAATTAAGGCAGGCAGGAGATTCTTTCAACACTTACCTTAAAAACACTAAGAGTTTAAAATGTTTTTGACGATATTTTTGAGGCCCAGAGGAATTGATGCATTTTGGAGTCCCTAAGGGCCCAAGAGCCCCCACCCAGCAGGATCAGCACAACCAAGAGCGCTCTCAGACGCTCTGGGCAATCCCGTTCCCCCAGCACCAGCACAGGGCCGGGATCAACAGGACACGAACTCACCCCGGTGTTGGCAGGCTGGGTTTGGGAAGTTTGATTTCATGGACGCCCTTGTCACAGCCCGAGATCTCCATCCTGCCCAGGGGGCTGAGCAGCACCACCTGCTTCTCCTGGCACGGAGATCCTCCCTGCTTGGAATTCACCTGTTCCAGGAAATAAAACCCTCTTTAACTGCAGGCATTTGCACCAAGGAACAGATTCGAGGAGTTTTCAAAAGCAATTTGAAAAAAGGGAGACAACAGTGAATTTCAAGTTTCCTCAACTACAGCATTCACTTTCAAAATTCCAACTTAAAATGATCTATCTTCACAAGTCAGCACCTAAATCAAAGTCTCAAAAAAAACATTAACTAGAAGCATAGTGATCTTCATAAAAACATGAAATAGCAGCAGTTGCATGGCTGGTTTATCAGCTAAAATCCAATGTGTTGTGACACTTATTTAAAACAGGACTGTTGTGACAACAAAGTAGATTCAGTGGTTTAGAGCAGCAGTGTTATGCAAATAACAGCTGGAACACAAATAGAATATGTCTGCTGGAAAAGAAAACACATGAAAAAATCAATCATTCCTTAGGAAAAGAAGCATATTTTTATTCCCATTGTTACCAGTCTGCTTTTACAATTACTGATAGGATGTAGCTGGAAACAGCTGCCAAGTATTTCCCAATATTGGACAAGACCAACAATAACAGACTTGTCAAATTCATCTTGGCTAAAAAAAAAACCCCAGCCTGGAAGTGTGAGTTGTGTTCCCAGTTTGGTTTGTGCCATCACTGCAGCAGGACAGGACAGGACAGGACAGGACAGGACAGGACAGGACATCACCAGTGTCCTCTGCAGCCACCCAGACACCAAACCTTTGGTCCAGACCACACAAAGTCCTGAGCTCCAAAGAGCTCAGTTCATGTGAAACTGGGAAAAAAAGGGAAAAACTGAGAAACTGTGAAGCAGCCCAAGGTAACTCCACCAGCAAACACAGAATAACAGGCTCCTACAACTGTCTGGGATGGAAGAGAACTTAAAAATCACTTATTTCCACACCTTCCACTGTCCCAGGTGCTCCAGCCCCAATGTCCAGCCTGGCCTTGGGCACTGCCAGGGATCCAGGGCCTGCCCAATCTCCCAGGGAACAATTCCTTCCCAAAATCCCATCCTTCCCTGCCCTCTGGGAAGCCATTCCCCGTGTCCTGTCCCTCCAGCTGCAGCACCCTGTTGAACTTCATGAGCTTTCCTGAAACAACACTGAGAAAACAACAAATTTCTTGGATTTCTTTTATTTAATTCCCTGTGTTCAAGGTTGGATGGGGCTTAGAGCAACCTGGTGCAGTGGAAGTTGTCCCTGGCCATGGCAGGGCATGGGATGAAATGAGATTTAAGATCCCTTCCAACCCAACCCATCCCATTCTGGGATTCCATGAACGCCAGAGCAGGGGTGCAGCAGGAGCCAGGAAGGTCCAGCAGGGTGACTTACAGCTGCCCACTGCTCACAGCTGTACAAGAATTAGTTGTTTTCCAAACAAGAGAATCTTTTCAAGCCCCATTATTAAGTGCTGTGGAATGAAGTCACATCTGTGAGTAATATAACCAGTGTGAGAGAGAGCAGAAAAACCATCAAGCTGACAGTTTTTGCAGAACTAGAGCAAAAGTAAACCTAAAGCCCTGAATTTTGGGAAGCTCTTACACAACTGCTCCATTACAGACACACACCAACCAGAGCAACCTCACTCAGCTTGGAGCAGTCCAGGACCTGCAGGTTCCCTGTGGTTTATTTACTTGGTCTGCAACCCCAACTGCTGAATAATCAAATCTTTGGTGGCATCACAAACAAACTCCTTTCCCACCAACTTCTTCCATGTTCTTTCCCCCTCCTGGAGGACATGGGAGAACTTCTTTGGAGCAGCCTCTCATTGCAGAAGTCAGCAAACAAGCAGTAAATTTACATATGTGGCAAACCAGCACACATTCTTCATGTTTATTGGTGTGACAGCCCTGAACCAGATGCACTGAACCTCACACCATGTGCTCCAGGACATTTCCATCAGAACAAAACCCAGGATGCAGGGAGCAGCAGAGAACTATCAATAACCCTCTGAGCTCTCTCCAAGTTGAACTAAGCTTTATGGATGAAGCCCTGAGTGACTGCAAGCCCTATTTGTAGTCTTTTTTTATCATATTCATGGGGCAGCAATATTCAGGAGGTTTATTTCTGTAGAAGAATGAGGCTGCAGGACATCGATCCACATCCATGTGCAATTGGGTTGGGATGCTCCAGGATGAAGGTCACTGACAGATGTACAATGCACACTCCTCTGTCCAGACACAAATTTTGTTATTTAGGCTGGACAGGAGAAATTTCCTCCCAGAAATTAAATGCCTTTAATTCTGTATCAAAATATCTCATAATTTTCATATAAGGTAGAAAAAAATACACTTTTTAGACAGGAAACGTCTCCTGCCAACCTCTGGAGTTCTCCCAAAGAAATAAAACCACAGGTGCAACACCCATAAGTTTACTTCACCAGACTGCTAAACTGGAAGATTGCAATTTTATTTAAATTTGCATTAAGCAGCTTTCACACTACAGTAAATAATTCAAATATTTCCATGTTCTGTTGCTCCTAACACCCCCAAAACCTCCCCTGGACATTGGTTTGACATCCTAGAATTCAATTCATATCCATAATGATGAACAGAGAAATAAAAAAGGCAGAGAAATCTCGAGAATCAACAAGGCTTAAAAAAAAAATAAAAATCTGTAGCAAAGCATTTCCATGCTCCATGTTGTCCCAGGAAACAATTTGTGCTTTCCAGAAAAGTCCAGAGAGCAAGCCCTGATTTTCCTTTCAGGATTATGGAGAACTGAATCCTCCCATCAGAGCCCTATCTCTGATGGATCTCCTCTCCACAGGTTTTTCCATTTCCCTCACTCTGCTTTTACAATATAAACCCACCGCACCAATATCAAAATATTAACAATAATCCCCTCTGCATCTGATTTAGCAGGGGATTTCCATTAGGCTACAGCATGGAAGCCCTCACAAGTTTTTTTTCTTTTCCCCTCAAATATTTCTGGGAATCAAGGCAAAAATAACATATTCAGCTGGCAAATCGAATGTGGCCTCACACATCCTGCAATTGGATTTTTTCAAACCTGCATTAATCAGGGAGATGTCCCAGTTCCTCCAAGAAAGGGTCTCTTGATCATTTTCAGATTAACCAAGTGTTAATTGAGCTACGTGTGATGGAAATACAACCAGCAGCAGGAAATTGCATTGCAATTCTTCCCCCTACTTCCCACAGACCCCAAAATGGTCCCATTCCCACAGTTTCTAGCCAAGCCACTGGTGCACATTTGGAAATGCTGTTTAGTTCTTCACACTTCTGTGGGGGTGAAGAACCCACCCAGATGCTCAGGAGGTTTCTGACCCAAACTTGCTCCCATGCTGGGCTAGGAGGGAACCACACACTGCCTTCCAACACTCAAAATCACTGCCAGAGGACCCCAGATTGCACCAATCACAGGAATTCTAACCCATAAAATCTGAATTTTGCATGTATGAATCCATTGGAATCACCACCTGCAGGTGATTCCCTTGGAGGTGTTCATGCCCACCCCAGGAGAGGTGT